CCCGTCCCGCTGCTCCTCACGGAGGGTCTCTCTGCGTCTTGGACTCGGCACCACGTGTCTGCTCAGCTTTGCGCTCGCCGTGCCTCTGCCCCAGACACTCTTCCCCACCTCTCACCCAGCTCCAGATCTCAGCTTCCAGGACTTTCCACAAGGAGTCCTCGGCTGACTCCTGGGGCCTGGCCGATGACCTCCACTGGTCCCCGACAGGCCCCAGTGCTTTCTCATTCCAGCACTGAGCACACTGGGCCATGTGACATCGGTGTATCCCAGGTGGGCTTTGAGCTCCTTGAGGACCCGAGGGCATCCTCGTCACCATGGTTCCCTCAGTGCCTGGCACAGTAGGCTCCCGCTAGTGCATGTAGGCTGGGATAGATGGATGGATGGATGGGATGGACGGATGGACAGACTGACGGACGGACAGACCGACGGACAGGTGCATGTGTGTATCTATGGATGGATGGATGGATGGATAGAAGGAGGGAAGGAAGGAAGGACTTGTTTTTCTTCTTGCTTGTCTGTACCAAGCCATCTCTGCCCACTTCCTTGGTAGGGAAAAGGCGATCCAACCACTTAAGAAAGGGCCTGGGCCAAGCCTGGTGGCCGCTTCTGCGTCTCGCTCTGCTGCATGGGCCTCTGGACGGGGGCGAAGAACCCATGTCCTCCGCCCCTTCCTGGAGCCGTCTCCACCCGCTGGGCCAACCCGGTCAAATCCCACTTGCCTGTCTGAGCTCTCACTTGCCTGTCTCCTCTGCGCACAGGCCACCCGCGGCCCAGGGTCACGTGGTTCAAAGATGGTCGGCCACTGGCTGGCGGAGACGCCCACCACATTTCTCCCGATGGAGCCATCCTGCGGGTCCTCGAGGCCAACCTGTCCAGCGCCGGCCACTACTCCTGCATTGCAGCCAACGCAGTCGGGGAGGAGACCAGACACTTCCGGCTTAGTGTCCTGGGTACGTGCTGGGCTGCTGGGCATCTCCAGGCCACACCGGGTGCTGGCAGGAGGGAGAACCACGTTGACCAGCTGCTGACACACAGCTTCCCACAGAGCACTCCAATTTTTCTTCCAATTTTTCCAAGTTCAACAACAATAACAACGACAACAAAATAATAATAATAATAATAATAACAACAACAACAACAGCGGTTCCATTGGTTGAACATGTATCATAGGCCAGGCATTTGGACAGGCCTGATTGGTTGATTCTTCACAACACCTCTAGGAGGTGGGTCATGTGCTTGTCCCCGTGTCACCGATGAAGCTCCGAGGAGACTCCTTCTGGGCTGTTCGTCTCCCGAGGGCAATGCAGCCCCAACTGCCTTGTCGGGCTGGAGAAATAGGGGCGTAGAGAATGAGAGGGACACACGCATTGAGTGAAATCTGTTTCTAAGGATTAGGGAGAGGGAGCCCTGCAAACTGGAAACAAACAGAACCGAGCAGGCTCTGATTAAATTTATCGGTGCTCTAGATGTTAAGAGGCTGTAGGGGAAACCGAGGCAGAAATCGTCCCGCTTCCCCTACGGCATGGCTGAGCGGTAGGAGGGCTGGGGCTCTAGGTTACCCAGGCCAGAGTTCGAGTCCATGGCACACGCCTGGGCTCCTCTGAGCCTCAGTTTCCCATCCGTGCGATGCAAATAGCCAGAGCCCCACGGCTGAGCACCAACACCTGAGACTTCCTCTCCGCTCACGAGCACCCTCCCTGCCCCCTACCGCAGTGGTGCCCACCATCTTGGGGGTGACCGAGGACAGTGCAGACGAGGAGGTGACCGTGACCATCAACAACCCCATTTCTCTGATCTGTGAGGCCCTGGCCTTCCCCTCCCCCACCATCACCTGGATGAAGGACGGGGCCCCGTTTGAGGCCTCCAACAACATCCAGCTGCTCCCAGGTGATGCCCTCTGCGGGGAGGAGTGAGGAAAGAGGTGACAAGTTATCGGGCTGGGTCGGGGGGAAGGGACTGGTGAGCCTGAGCTCATGCCTGGGGGTGACCCTGGCCACTGTCCCTCAAGCAGGCACCCACGGGCTCCAGATCCTGAATGCCCAGAAGGAAGATGCGGGCCAGTACACCTGCGTGGTCACCAACGAGCTTGGGGAGGCCATGAAGAACTACCACGTGGAAGTCCTCAGTGCGTTGGGCAGGCAGGAGGCTGCTGGGTGCCCAGAGCCACACCGGTCCTGGCTTCCTTCTGCCATTCGTGCTCATAGAGGCCTGAGTCCTGGGAGCCCCGGAAGGGCCCCCAGAGGTCACCTCAGGAATTCCCCTGCCTCGGACCTGCCCTGTCCCATAACCAAAGTCTTTGTCCCTGAGAGAACAGCCCCAGGAGCAGATTGGTCTCCGAGTCCCTGTTCTCTGCTCTCAGGGGGGCCCCCATTGCCTGGGACTGCCCTCGGCGCGACGGGGTGAGTGCGGGTTCTCGGCAGCCCCTCCCCAGGCCTGTTCCTCAGACCCCCTTGTGGTTTTCAGTCCCTCCTGCCATCTCCAAAGACGACCCCGCCGGGGCGGTCAGTGTGAAGGAAGTGAAGACCAAGGTCAATAGCACCCTGACCCTGGAGTGTGAGTGCTGGGCTGCGCCCCCACCCACCATCAGCTGGTACAAGGATGGACAGGTGAGCGCGGGAGCCCCGGGCGGCCTCACACTCTCGCCTCTGGGCCCCCCTGGTTCTGCTTGGAACGTTCCTTCCGGAAAAGACAGTCAAAGCCCCAGGGCTGACCCAGGGCCTGCCTCACCCTCGACATTTTTTTTTAATTTAAATGTATTTATTTTTTTTTATGGTGACATTGGTTAACGAAATCCAGTAAGGTTTAGCTGTACGACTTAGCAGCAAGGCAGATATTGCATTGCGTGTTCACCTCCCATAGTCGGATTTCTTTCTGTCACCACATATTTGACCCCTTTGACCCTGTCTACCTCCCCCCGCACCCTCTGGTAAACACTAGTCTATTGCCCGCGTCCATGAGTCTCTGTTTGTTTGTCCTGTTTGTTTCACCCTTTATGTTTTAATAGGAAACCCTAATCTTTATAGGGGACCAGCCTCCTAAACACTAAGCTCTACATTCACCCATTTAATTCTCTTCCAATTTTTAAGTCATTTGGATTTGGCTTTACCACATCGTCGGGGTGTCCTATCATCTTTCTGTCTTTTTAAAACTTCATTAAAATTGTCTGGGTGCTTTCTGACCCTCATTTGCGATCCCCATCACCCCTCTCTCCTCCCCCAGCCCGTGACCCCCAGCGAGCGGCTCCGAGTCCTGGGTGAGGGGCGGCTGCTTCAGATCCAGCCCACGCAGGTCTCGGATTCGGGGCGGTACCTATGCGTGGCCACCAATGTGGCTGGCGAGGATGACCAGGACTTTAACGTGATTATCCAGGGTGTGTGGGGCTCGTGGAACTGGGGGGCGGGGGGGGGCGGGGCGCAGCTGGCGGAGGTGTGTGTCAGAGCTTCTGGGGCAGCCTGGCAGGAGGACCCTTTCTCAGCTCCGACTGGCGGCTCCGGCCCCCTGGCCTGGGCTCTTTCATTAACCGACTTTGTGACCTAGGGACGTCACTGCCCCTCTTAGGTCTTAGTTTTGCCTTTGGAAATGTGGGTGATCAGATCAGGTGGCCTTGAGGGGCCCCTCCAGTTCCCAAAGCCAATGATTTTGTGCCTCTGTGCTCCAGTAAACAAACCAGCTAAAGCTGAGTGTCTGTCTGCCTCCCCTGAAAAAAAATATCACCGTGTCACCAGAAGTCCTTTGGGTCCATTAGACACGAGGTCCAGAGGGCAGGAACCTTATCCCAGTACCCAGCATACTAATCGCTCAGTAGATGCTGGTTGAAGGAGTGAATGAGTTTTTAAAATGCTTGACCTAAAGACCTGGCCCAAACGGTGGACTTTCCCCTCCCGGGGGAGGCTCTTCGAGCAGAGGTGCCTCTCCAGCCCTCAGCGGTGTGTCCTCATGGCTTTGCCCCGTCCCCAGTGCCCCCCATGTTCCAGAAGGTGGGCGATGCCGGTGCAGACTTGGAGTTCCTGTCCCAGGCGGAGGAGGTCCGGGGCGGGGTGACGGAATACCGGGAGGTCATGGAGAGCAACCCCGCGTACCTGTACTGCGACACCAACGCGGTCCCAGCCCCGGAGCTCACCTGGTACAGGGAGGACCAGCCCCTCTCGGCCACAGATGGCGCGTCTGTTCTGCAAGGTAGGCTAGGGCGGCGCAGAGAGGTGGGCGCATCTATCTGCAGGTGGGGAGCAGGGTCATACGTCTGAGCCGGTCTCCATCTGCTTGCTGCAAGTCTTCTGAGCTCTCCCGTGTGCGGCCTGCTGTGTGACCTGGCATCTATCTGCAGGTGGGGAGCAGGGTCGTACTCACGTCTGAGCTGGTCTCCATCTGCTTGCTGCAAGTCCTCTGAGCTCTCCCGTGTGCGGCCTGCTGTGTGACCTCAGGCAGGGCCTGTGACCACTCTGGACCTTTCCTGCCTTTGTGAGCCAGGGCTAAGAGCACTGGTTTTTAGAACAGGTGCTCACCTGGGCTGTGCCCACCTCTGGGCTTCAAGATCTGCAATGTCTTGAAAAAATCGGCTGCAGCTGGTGCCTCTCTCTAGCGAGGGAGCTGTTCCTGTATTGACGTCTCATGACCTTGAACGTGGAAGAACCCCTCCCTGGGCTCTGGACCACGCTGAGGTCCAAGCTCGGGGCTCGTGTACCCTTTCGTTTCTTTTTACCACTTTAAATCTTTGTTTATTTAAGGTTATTTAATTTTTTCAAACAGCCCTTTTACTTTACAATAGTTTTTTTGTGGATGATTTTGAACTAAAAGGCTTTGGCACAGGGCTTAGAAGCACCTAGCTTTGCTGGGCTGCTAACTCGGCCCCCCGAGGTGGGCCAGGACCGGGAGGAACTCCAGGCACAGAGCCCTGCAGTGGCTCACGGCAGGGATTCAGTGGTCCCGGGGCTTAGGATTCGCCCTGTGGCCAGTGTGGGGCTGTGGGAGGTGGTGGTGGGGGGCGGGAAGATGAGGTGCGTGGCAAGGGCCTGCCGATAAGCCGGGTCATTCCAGCATCTGTACTTTGGCGCCTGTGAAGGAAAGGGGCCTCTTGAGATCTGGAAGGAGCTGCTTGCTGAAAGCCATTTGCTCCTGTCGGAAACCCCCGGACTGACCCCCTAACTTGCCCTCTCACGTGGATGCCGACCCAAACCTTGGGTACACAGTGAGCTCCGTCACATGCTGACCCCCGGTTCAGACCCTGACCTAGGTTCATCCTAGCCATCAGCTGAACCCTGGCCTCAGCCTTTGACCCCCAACCCCACCATTGACCTCTGACCCTGCCCGCTGACTCCTAATCCTGAACACATAGATTAACTTCACACATCGAGTGACCCCCAGTCATGGCCCCTCCCGCCTTAATACTGACCATTGTTCCCTGGCTCTGCACAGAATGAGAGCACACAGGGACCCTAACCGGGCCGCCACTTGAGACCAATTCCAGCCCCCCACAGATGCCAGGGTCTGGCCCTGGCTGGCTCTGGATCACAGAGGGTCCCAGGTAACACCCCCCAGCAAACCCCACAGCCAACTACCGCAGCGCGAAGCCACCTCTTTGCCTCCTAAGTGCCTCTGCCCAGGTCTCTGGCCCATCCCTCCGCCCCCTCGAGGCACCGGGCAGCCTCAGCTCTCCCATGTGGAGTCGGTGCAGGAAGACGCCCAGCCAGGCCCGGCGCACAGCAGCCCTACTGTGCCTTATCTGAGCCCCTCACCCTGTGAGTGGGTGGAGCAGGCCGATTCTCTCCGTCTCACAGATGGGGGCGACAGTGATAGGTGCCAGGCCCCCTCTTTGCCCTTGCTCAGGGCTCTGTCCCCCTGTTTCCTCAGGAGGCCGGGTCCTGCAGCTCCCCCTGGTACGTGCGGAGGATGCTGGGAGGTACTCGTGCAAGGCCTCCAATGAGGTGGGAGAGGCCTGGCTGCACTACGAGCTGGCGGTGCTGAGTGAGTGGCTGGCCTGGGTCGGGGGGTGGGGGGTCTCGGGTCTGCAGGCCCCGTAAGAGGCCCCCTGAAGGGGGTCATGGTGGAGAGCGTGTTCAGTCTCGCTGTCCTCAGAGGCTGATGACATAGGGGTGCAAGCCTGGGCTTCGAAGCCAGACGAGACTGGTTCAGATCCCAAGCGAGCTGCTCCCTAGCTGTGTGACCTGGAGTCACAGGTCACAGCCCTCTCTCTGTGCCCCAGATTCCTTAGCTGCGTCAGGGTCTCGGAGAGGTTGGCGGGGAGGGCACAAGGAGCCTTAGCCACCCCGGGTACCAAGTGCTCTTCTCGCCTCCATGTCCCCCACCCCAGCCCCACCTGTGATCCTGGGTGACACGGAAGAGCTGGTGGAGGAGGTGACCGTCAATGCCAGCAGCACCGTCAGCCTACAGTGTCCAGCCCTGGGCAACCCAATGCCCACCATCTCGTGGCTCCAGAATGGACTGCCTTTCTCCCCGAGCCCACGGCTGCAGGTCCTGGAGGACGGGCAAGTCTTACAGGTGGGGCATCCCCCGACTTGGGCTAAAGGCAGCGGTTGCTGAGACTCAGCACTGCTTGTCTGGGAACCACACAGCCACCATCACCGGGGCCAAACGAGGCTCTTTGCCTGAAAGCATGTGAGATTTAATCCAACCCACTACAGTGAGCCTTGCCGGCAGGCACAGGACTTCACATAAGGAGCTAGAAATTCTGGTGACGCCTGAAAAGGACCGCACCTGCATGCCACTCCTAGAGTCCGGCGTGGCACAGGGCAGCCTTCCGTGGGAATGCCATCTGGCACGGAACCACGCCCAGCACCTAGGACCTCAGGCAGCACCCGAGCCATCCCGTGTCCAGACAGCTGCACGAGACCCCTGGAGCCCCACACGGCACAGAGCAGCCCTCCTGGGGGCCGGGGACTGTTGTCACCATCTAGTTGGCTCTAGGGAATCGCCCAACACCAACCTCACAGCCTCCAAACGTCACAGAAAGCCCTCGATAGATGTGGGGCGTACACGCCCATCAATGGAGCCCCTAATTGCTGCTCCATGCAGACAAAGGTGGCTTTCTGAGAGGGTCCTCCTGGTGCCTGGCATGGTGGGCGGGAGCCCTCCCAGGAGTTCCTGCAGAGGGGCCCAGAGCTGTCAAGCCTGTGGGATCTCCCGGCCACCGTCTCCCTATGCCCACAGGTGTCCACAGCAGAGGTGGCCGATGCTGCCAGCTACATGTGTGTGGCTGAGAACCCCGCGGGCTCTGTGGAGAAGCTCTTTACCCTCAGGGTGCAAGGTGAGCTGTAGGGAGCAGGCAACCCCTGGGGACTCTCCAGCCGAGGAGGGGCTGATGCTCAGGGCTTACTCCCAGTGCAGGCAGACACAGCACCTCGTCCCACCTCGAGGGCCACCACCTCTGTGCCTCTAGTGTCCTAGGCCCTGGGTCTGCATCCAGCGTTTAGGAATCCTGGTCTGGCACCAGCCACCTCCCGGGACAGAGAGCATTTTGGGGACCCTGATCACTGAGAGCCAACCCCAGATCATTTTAAGCAACCACGGAGGCCTCACAGCATCATTATAATGCACTTACTCTGCCCCTGGCATGGGGCCAACTCCTTCCAGCGGGTCTAAGAGGTTAGCTCGATCCTACAGCTGTGGAAGGAATCAGAGAGGTTGCCCCGTGGGGGTCTCACCAGCCCCGAGTTGGCCCTCTGCATTCTTGTGACACATGCACCTCAGTGTTCGTGAGCTCTGCCTTCGGGTGTGGGGCACCTATGGCCGCAGGAATGAAGGTCTAGGACTCAAACATGAATTGATATTTTGGTTCTGCCACTAACCAGCTGAGTGGCCTTGGAAAAGTGGCTCTCTCTGATCTCCCAGCCCCTGTGCTCTCATCTGTGACATAACTATGACAAATAGGGGCTGCTGCACGGTGATGTTTGAAGGTGCGCCCGGAGCTCACACAGCCCTGTGTGTCACTCTGAAGCTCTCTCTTCCCCCGCCGGGGTGCAGTCTCAAGTGTCTTTCTTTATCCCGGTGGCCATGGGGACAGTCCCACCACGAATCGCAGGCCCGAACTTGGAGCAGGTCACGGCCATCGTCAACAGCAGCGTCTCCCTCCCCTGCGATGTCCATGCTCACCCGAGCCCTGAGGTCACATGGTACAAGGACAGCCAGGCCCTCGCCCTGGGGGAAAAGGTCTTCTTCCTGCCTGGTGGGTAGGCTGAGGCTGGGGCCCAGCTCTGCGGGGAGCCCGAGCTGCCTCCCTGGACCCGGGACTGGGCTGGGGGTCTGGGAGGCACCAGGACTGGTGGTGTGGACCTAGGGGCAGCCCGTTTGCTGGTGTGAGGGGCTGGCTCCCACCCCCCACCCCCCCGTCCCATGGCAGGTACCCACACGCTGCAGCTGGCACGGGCACAGCCATCGGACTCTGGGACGTACATGTGCGAGGCTCTCAACGCGGCCGGCAGAGACCAGAAGCTGGTGCAGCTTAGTGTGCTGGGTACGTCCCGTCTGAACCCCCAGCTGCACTGTCCCTCGCTCCGTCAATCAGCTCCTCAGCCGCACACCCCGCAGGGGGCACAGGTGGAGTAGGGCCTGAGATGCCCGCATCCGTCAGCAGTGACGGTGTCCATGTTAAGGTCATGGTCTGGATACGCTTGGTTTGAAACTCAGCTGCGCACTTGCTCTGTGACCTCCGGCAAGTCGCTCCCCCTCTCACCTGGCCTCAGGCCTCTCATCTGTAGGTGACAGTGGGCATGAGGATTAAATGATGGTATGGGAGCGTTAGCCCAGGGTCTGACACAGCGAGCTCTGAAGTGGAGGAGAGGGAGGGCCCTTCCCAAGCCTGACTGATCACGAGGTTCTCGGCTTGGAGCCTGTTTTGGGGCTTTTGGTCTTCAGAATTGTCTTGGGGAAAAGCTGGCCCAAACTGTCACGAGCCAGGACTCAGCTGATGGTTCTTTCTAGCCCTAGCACTGGTTCATCCATTTGTGTGTGTTCGCCTACTGTGCAGATACACCGTGCCAAGTCCTGTGGGCTCACAGCTGGGGCAGGGGGCGGTGGGGGCTTCTACACTAGTTCCCTGGAAGAACGGGACCCCACGGAGGGTTCTAACCCAGATGGGGCCTGTCCTGTGTAGGAAACAGCCCGGGGGGGTCAGAGCACCTCCCTGACTGGGGAGGCCGAGGGCCGGAGAGGGCGAGAGGCTTTTCCCAGGTCACCCAGCAGGTCCTCGGCATGCTGGCCTGGTTCATCTTCCTCTAAGTTCCTGGGTCTGTGCCATCCTCTGGGGCGGGGTCCGCTCTGTGACCCCACTGTGCCTCCGTAGGCTGTTTACCTGGGTCTGGGCTGGGTGGGGGGTGGGACACAGGAAAGGCAGCCTCGCCTCACTCTGATTGTCTCCTGTCTCAGTTCCCCCCGCCTTCAGGCAGGCTCCCAGTGGCCCCCAGGATGCGTTCTTGGTGAGGGCCGGGGACAAAGCCGTTCTGAACTGTGAGACAGACTCGCTCCCCGAGCCAGCTGTGACTTGGTACAAGGACGGGCAGCCCCTGGTCCTGGCACAGCGGACCCAGGCTCTTCAGGGTGGGCAGAGGCTGGAGATCCTGGACACCCAGGTGAGCCGCCCGGTGGCACGGGCAGCCATGGGAGGCCATTCCAACGTCACCTCCTGGTCCTGGTGAGGCTGGGGACAGCTGACGGCTGTGTGGCAGGAGGTGGAGGCTGCTGCCTCCTCAGCCTACGAGACCCCAAACCCAGTCGATTAGCAGCCTCGGGGTGGGGGGAGGGAAGAGGGGAGAGCGGGAAGAGCCCAGGGCTTCAGACTTGGCTCTGCATCGACTCACGGAATGACAATGTAGGTCCCTTTCCCGCTGCCTGCGTCAGTGTCCCCAGGATCTAGAAGGTTGGCCTGGGCTCTTCTGGTTCTGACTCCGGGGAGGCAGCAGGGGGCCGTTTCCTCCAGGCTCGGCTGACACACAGGCCCGGGAGGGTGGGGTCGGGCGCCCGTGCCCTCACCATCCTTTGGCCCTTCTGCTTCTCAAGGCTCTTGGGAAAGGCCAGGGGATCGGGTCTCCCCTCGGCTTCCTGCCCAGCACATTTGGGGAAATCCCGCTCTGGAAGGTTCTGGGCCCTGAATGTTACGGGGTGCCCTAGGTACTGCAACCCCATTTGCACACTGTCACCACATGCTCTTTCTGTCCCAGGTGTCAGATAAAGGTCTGTATAGCTGTAAAGTGAACAATGTGGCCGGGGAGGCTGTGCGGACATTCGTCCTCACCGTCCAGGGTAAGCTGGGGACCAGCCTGTGACCATTGCGGTGGGACCCCAGCAGCGCACGGGGCTGCCAAGGATGGAAAGGGCAGTAGCTGCGAAGAAACGGGGTTGCCGAGTGTTAGGAGCACGGGATCTGGAATTGAAAAGACCGAGATTTGAACGGGATTTGCTTTGTGACCTGGTCCCTGAGACTCAGGTTTCTCTTCGGTAAAAGAGGCTAAAGGCAGTGCCTGCCCGCTAGGCACACAGCCCCTCGGTCGATGGACTGCCATGACCGTGTCCACAAAGGGCTGGGCACAGAGCCTGGCACGTGAGCACTGGGATGGGAGCCCGCAGAGATCAGACACTTGGTGGCCTAGGCCATGTCACTTCCATCTTGAGCCTTCAGAGGCCTGTCCCACTGGCCCAAGGATGGAGCATAAATGGCATTTGATTGGGTGTGGCTCAAGCTGGGGGTGAGGTGGAGGTGCCTAGGGGAGCAATGGATGAAGGCTTGACCAGGTTTTCTTGGGGTCAGATGTGTCAGTTAGGCCTTATAGATTCCAGCAAAGAGACCCCAAAATACAGCGGATTAAATGAGGGAAGCTTACCTGTCTCATCCATAAACCCAGAGGTGAGTGGTTAGGCAGGGGCATGGCAGGGGGCGGGGTAGCTCAGCTCCATGTGGAAATTGAGGGACCCAGGGTCCTTCCATCTTGTCGATGTCCCATCCCCTAGGGTGTTGTCCCTGGGCATGTGGTTGAAGCCGGGACACATTGCATCCTGTCCCAGCCCATAGGAAGCAGAAAAGGGCAGAAGTAAAGGCCAAGCATTTTTATTTTAAACGAGTGATACATTGTTCCCTCTGCTTGCATCCCATTTAGTGAGAGCTTAGGCAGCCGGCCACAGCAGGCTGCAAGGGAGACTGGGAGATATAGTTTCTACCTGAGCGACCAGGTGCTCAGCTAACATTACTGTGGCAGTTGGGTACGACAGAGACGGGGGACACCGGCTATTGGCCACAAATGGCAGAGCAGGAGCCTCCCCACCAGGCCAGCAGCAGAAGGATCCAACCCTGAGCCATATGGAAGACCATTGCCTGGGGTACTAGACGTCATCCTGGCTGAGCAAGACAGAGCATTGGGATTGATTCGTGATATCTGTCCTGGCGCAGGCTCAGAACAGCTGGTGCGTGAGCCATGCACTGGCCATCCTTGGGCTGAGGGGACCCCTTCCGGACTCTGCCTTGTGGATGTTTTGAAACAGCCAGCTGCTGGCTCTATCTGCGAATAAAACAACACGTATCTCCATCGACAGCAAAGCATAAAATATCAACTCCTAGCCGCAGAGAAGGGTCTTCTCAGACATCCCTGATCTGCCTGAGAGGCAGGAAGTGGGGGCAGAGTCTTAAGATTTTGGGAATCTGGCTTCTCTCCTGCAGTGCCCCCAACGTTTGAGAACCCCAAGACGGAGACAGTAAGCCAGGTGGCTGGGAGCCCTCTGGTCTTGACCTGTGATGTGACTGGTGTCCCTGCGCCCACTGTCACTTGGCTGAAGGACAGAATGCCTGTTGGTGAGTTCATAGAAATGACTTCTCTTTTTACTGCTAAAGGTTCCTTTAATGAAATGACAGCGAAAGCCAAGGGAGTTGCTGGTTATTAATTCTTCTTATTTCGCAAAATCAAAGGCTGGTCGGTCTCACCCCGTATTATCTTTCCACGTCGTTGGCCCTTGAAATCCCAGCGTGGGGAACTGCTTTCACGGGAGCCCGAACCCGCAGTCAGCTCCCACGAGACAAATGCAGGGTGGGTGCCGAGTGCCCAGCCGGCCCATCTCTGGGCCTGGCATTGTCCCCCAGAGCTGCTTTTCCGTTAGCTTGGCTCCGTCCTGGCCCAGGCCTCGGTCACCCCCACTTAGGCGTTCGTCCTTGCCCCTCTCTCTTCCTGATGACTGTCCGCAGATCTCTGGCCTTGCTGCTGGTAAACGCGTCTGATGCCAACCTCTCCCGTCCCGGCCACCACTGCCCTGCCCACCCCTGGGTGAGAGGGGCAGCCCCCACACGGGTCTCCTGGGCCCACTCCAAGCCTCCAGTGTAGGCTCCACAAAAGGCAGAATGGATCTCAAAGCTGAGTGGGTCACTTATTTGTCAAAGATCTTGTCGTGGCCTCAGAACCACAGCCCGCGGGGCTGGGGGCCAGCCCGCCTCTCCCGACCCATCCCACGCCCCAGTCAGCCTCGGCTGCTCTTGGCTTCTCACACGTGTGCCCGTGACCAACCCGCCCTCCCCCCGCCATAACAGCTTTATCGAGATGTAATTCTCATACCATACCACTTACCCATTTAAAGCGTGTAATTCAATTATTTTTCATATATTCAAGGACCATCCCCACAATCAATGTTAGAACATTTTTATTACCCGAAAGGAAACCTCATACCCATTTCCCTTTATTCCCGATTTCCCCTCAAATCTCCCCCCACCCCTGCTCTAGGCAGCCACTAACCCACTTTCTGTCTCTCTAAATTTGCCTTTTTTGTACATTTAATAGAAGTGGAACCATATAACATGCGACCTTCTGTGACTGGCTTCTTTCTCAGCGTCACGTTTTCAAGGTTTATTCACGTTGTAGCCTGTGTCGGTTCTTCATTCCTTTTTTTAAGTTAATTTTATGTCTGAATAGTCCATTTTGTGGGCACGTCACATTTTCTTTACCTATTTGTCAGTCGGTGGGCGTCTGCGTCTGGGCTGCTTCCGCCCTTGGCAGTGATGAACAGTGTGCTGTGAACGTCAGTGCAGGTGCACGTGTGGGTGTGAGCCCGCCTTTCGCGTTGGTTCACACCTGGGGGTGCAGTGGCGCTGGGCCCCGTCTTCTCTTGCCTCTGGCTCTTGGCACACGCTGTTTCCTCCCTGAAATGCCCAGCCCGGACCCCCTCTGCCCACCTCCGCTGTCCCCTGGCTGATCCATCCTCACCTTTGAGTCTCAGCTGGGACTCACCTCCCCAGAAGACTTGCCTGGTCCCTCCCGGCTCTGTCAGGGGCTTCGCGGGGCTGGTCACACGGGATCGTGCCTGGTTCACTGTCTCCGATGCCCTTGGAACTCCTCGAGGACAGGGACTGTGTTTTTCTCATCTTTGATCCCAGGCTACATGAGTGGACATGTAGTCGTTGCTCGGTTTTGTGCCGAAGGGCTGGATGCACAGAGGAGGATGTGGGCGAGGGCAGATCAGCCTGGGCTGGCGCAGTTAGATCAGGCTTCGGGGCAGAGGTGCGAATGGAGAAAATGAAGGGGCGGGGCATTGGAAGCTGGGGGTGAGCGAGCAGCCTGAGCAGAGGCCCGGGGCATCCCCTAGCTGACCGGCCTTAAGGTCAGGGAGTGGCTGGTTCACCTCGATCAGTGGGAACGGGGTGGGGGGGTTGGAGCTGGAGTGATGAGGGAGGTAAAGTCAGCCTGAGACGAGACAGGCAGAGGACCAAGTCCTAGACACTAAAGAGAGAGTGGGGTCCCTTGGGAAGAAACGTCCCAGTGGAGGGAAATCGGGGCGGGTCGTGAGGACCAGAACATGGAGACCACGGGCCAGGCTGAGGAGGGTGTGATGCAGACGGGACGAGGCGCTGCCTCTGCGCGTTTCCCTTTGAGCGTAAGGCGGGATGAGTGGTTCGAGGGCTCCCCGGGGTCTTTGCAGCTTTGCGAGTGGGAGGGATGGACACTGTCTCAGGGAGTCACCGGACTGTTGTGCTGGGCCCAGTGGTGGCACCTGGGGTGGCGGGTCTGTGCAGGTGAAGTCCTGGCACGTTCTCCATCCCACAGAGAGCAGCGTGGCGCATGGCGTGGTCTCCCGGGGTGGCCGCCTCCAGCTGAGTCGCCTGCGGCGGGCCCAAGCTGGCACCTACACGTGTGTGGCCGAGAACGCCCAGGCTGAGGCCCGAAAGGACTTCGTGGTGGCCGTGCTGGGTACGTCTGCGTTCTGCACCCTTCCCTGTGCCCTACCCCCAAGCCAGGCCCTGCCACCGCTGGGCCTCACCACAGCCCCCGCTGCAGTGGCCCCCCAGATCAGGAGCTCGGGCAGCATGCAGGAGCACAGCGTCCTGGAGGGACAGGAGGTGCGGCTGGACTGCGAGGCTGATGGGCAGCCACCGCCCGAGGTGGCCTGGCTGAAGGACGGTGGCCCGCTGGGCCAGGGCGTGGGCCCCCACCTTCGGTAAGGCCCAGCCGGTGCCCTCCCTGCCCCAGGCAGCAGGCCCTACCGACCCTCACACACCTGCTCTCTGCTCTCCCTCCCCATGCCAGGTTCTACCTGGACGGCAGCTCTCTGGTGCTGAAGGGCCTCATGGCTTCGGACTCAGGCGCCTACACCTGCGTGGCCCACAACGCGGCCGGGGAGGACGCCAGGCTGCACACCGTGAACGTGCTGGGTGAGCTGTGAGGGACGAGGAGAGGCGGGCGGCCCCACCGTCCCGGGCCACCATGAGGCTGATGTGAATGCAGGATGCAGGAGACCTGGTTCATGTCCCAGCTGTGTTCACACCGCAAGCCAGGCCTCGGCGTGGCCGCTCTGGGCTCCGCCCCCTCCTCAGACCAGAGGCACCACCACTGCAGCCCAGGGGTGCGGCAGGAGGGCCAGGGGTAAAGGAGATGAGAAAGGAGCCGCGGGGGAGCCCGTGCCCCCCATGCAGCAGCCCTCATTCCTCCCTGGGGTGGATGTGGCAAAGGTCTGGGCATTGGCGTCACCGCCTGGAACTTCCCTGGGAGAAGACTCCTCCCCTCCTCAGAGCCCCTCCCCAGACCCCTTCCCAGTCCCCTTTCTTTTCTCTTTCCACCCCCCAGTGCCTCCCACCATTGAGCAGGGCACAGAAGGCACAGGGACCCTGGTGCACAGGTCTGGGGAGCTGGTGACCATGGCGTGCCCCGTCCGGGGCTCTCCACCCATCCACGTGAGCTGGCTCAAGGACGGCCTGCCCCTCCCCCTCTCCCAGCGCACCCACCTCCTGGGCTCCGGCCGCATCCTCAGGTAAGGGAGCAGCTCCTGGGCCCCCCTGGCCACAGGGTCGCAGGCCCCAGACACAGTCTTCCAGCAGCTTGGACTTGTCGACCTAAAAATAAAAGGCTTTCAAAGTGAGAAGCAACGAGCATTTGGGAGATCAATAAGAATAGCCATTTGGGAATCATTAGTTCAGGCAGAAGCCCAAAGAGTGTTGCCATTTGGGGACAAAGGTGAGGGGTATTTATGAGACGGGGCAGGGGACAATTGTATCGACAGAAGGAAGGCACTTCTACTGGCACAGAGAGCATAGCGACGTTAATTCTAAACAATGTTTTTACTTCTCAGTCCGGTCGTCGTAATAACTGCTTTCTCGTTATCTTTGCAAACAGTTGTTTGGGACACTCTGTTGCCCTAGGCCCCGTCCAAAGGTCATTTTGCCCCATTGGAACATTCCAAAGATTTGAGGCAGAAGATATGCAAGGCCGTTCCTCTGGCATGGCAGCGCCGGCTCTATTTTAAAGTGGCTCCGTTTCTAATATTGTTTACGGGCTTCAAAACACATCGGAATGGTCTTGAGAATAAAAACAATGTAAACAGACAGGTTTATGATGAGGAAAGAGAGAGGACCGCACCCCCAAATGGAACTCCAGAGATGAAAGGGGCCTCTGCCCTTAGGCCCTCACGGCCGGATGAGGGGGGCACAGATCCAGGGGATGCCATCTGCTTGCGCCCGACTCAGCCTGGCCTGGGGTGGAGGAAGTGAGGGAAAGCTTCCTGCGGAAAGGTTCACGAGCAGAGTCTTCGTGCATTCGGCAACATTTACGAGTCCTCACTGTTCCAGGCCCAGGTCCAGGCACTGAGATAGAGCAGTGAGCAAGATAAAGCCCTCGCCCTCGCAGCTGCAGGGAGAGAGGGCGATGGAAAATAAACGGACAGAAAAATGAAATCGCACGAGGGATAGGTGCTCTGAAAAATATAGTGAGAGGAGGGACTGGAGGTGGCCGTGGAGAGTGCTGTTTTAGGGCGGTCGGATAGGCACTGAGATAAGGTGACACGTGAGCAGAGCTGGAAGGAGGTGAGAGGCGAGGTGACTGGGTTCTGTGAGGCAGAGAGAGGGCATCCAGGCAGAGGAGACAGCGGTTTCTAGGGCCCCGAGGTGGCCACGTGTCTTCGCATGTAAGGAGCAGAGGGCGGAGGGGGGAGCAAATGACACTGGACCTTGTAAGTCCTCGGAAAGACTTGGGTTTTCCTAAGGAGAGCTGGAATGCCCTGGGGGGGTTTTCAGCAGAAAAGCATCAAGATGTGACTTACATTTTTTTAATTGTGGTAAAATAGGCATAATATAAAATTTACGATGTTAACCATTTTTAAGTATAGAATGGCATTAAGCACTGCTGTGCGACCATCCCCACCGTCCCTCTCCAGAACTTCTCATCTTCCCAAACTGAAACTCTGTCCCCATTCAACACTCGCTCCCCAGCCCCTCCCCCAGCCCCTGGCACCCAGCGTTCTACTTCCCGTCTACGGGGACTCAGGCAGTGTTCGTCCTTTAGTGTCTGGCTTACTTCACTTAATGTGATGTTCTTGACGTTCACCCACGTTGCAGCAGGTGTCAGAATTTCCTTCCTTTTTAAGGCTGAATGATATTCCATGGTGCGGTTGGGCCACGGTTTGCTTATCCATTTGTTGGTTGACGGGCAGCTGGACGGCTTCCGCCTTTGGCTGTCGTGAATGTTCGTTGGTGTACGAACATCTCTGAGTCTTCGCTTCCAATTCTTTTGGGTTGTGACTGAGGTTGTCAGATGATTTTTCTGGCTGCTGCGGGGACAAGGGCAGAGCAGGGAAGGCAGGTGGGGCTGGGGTAACAATTCAGGTGAGAGGAAAGTGGCCTGGGTCAGAGCCAGGTGGTGGACGTGGCAAGAGATGAGAGGCGGGGGGAGCTGAGCTTCCATCCGGGCCCCTGGAAGGCTGAGATGGGTTCGCGGTGAGAGGGACGGGTTCTGTTTGAGCATGTCGGGTTTGAGAGGTTCTCAGACATCCAGGCAGGACACCCCAAGCCGGGCATCTGTTACTCTGCTCGCGAGTTCAGGAGATGGACATTTGGGGGCTGTCAGTGAACAGGTAGCATGGGGAGTCAGGGCTGGGGGCAGGGAGTCGGGGACTTTATTCTGGGGGTGCTGGGGAGCCAGGAAAGCGGGTTAAGCAGAGGCTGGACTTGATCAAGTTTGCATTTCGGAGCTGCCCATCTGAGGGACAAGCCTTTGGGCGACAGGATGGAAAAGGGAAGGGACCTTTACCACTGAGGCCCCTCCCTCCCTCTCTCCCCTCTCTCTCTCGAGGGGTTCAGGATTTCCCAGGTGCAGTTGGCAGATTCCGGCACCTTCACCTGTGTGGCTGCGAGCCCAGCTGGCGTGGCCGACAGAAACGTGACCTTGCAGGTGCATGGTAAGGTACAGGGTCGCGGCATACTCCTGGCCTCCGGCCTTGGGGTGTGAGAATCAGGGCCTTGGGGGCAAACACAGTGACTCTGTCTGATTCGTTCAGCTGCTTATTCATTCATGTCACAAGTAGTCGTTGGGCACTGGTGTGCCAGGGCCTTGCCAGGCACCAGGATACGGCAGTAAGCAGAGGTGGCCCTTGCCGCCAGGAGGTCAGGGCAGGAAGCCACTTTGTAAAGAGACAATCACAATTCCAAGTGACTCGTGCCACCAGGGGAAGGAGAGTGTGCCGTGGGGGCACAGAGGAGGGTGCTTCATCTGGGTTCAGGGAGGACTTCCTGGAGGAGGTGATGTCTAAGCTGAGAATTGAAGATGGGAAGGAATTATCCAGGAACAAAGGTCCAGGGGCGAGGGCCTCCCGGTGTGGAATAAAATGACTTACGCCCACTCTTTTTCCCTGAACAGTGCCCCCTGTCCTGGAGCCGGCAGAGTTCCAGAACGACGTCACGGTGGTCCGCGGCTCCCCGGTGGTCCTCCCCTGTGAAGCCCAGGGCAGCCCCCTGCCCCTAGTATCATGGATGAAGGATGGGGAGCCTTTGTTGCCCCAGAGCCTCGAACAGGGGTCTGGCCTGCAGCTGGAGACAGTGGGAGCTGGGGATTCGGGGACCTACTCCTGCGTGGCCATGAGCGAGGCAGGGGAAGCAAGGAGGCACTTCCAGCTGACGGTGATGGGTGGGTCCTCTGCCCCCAGCACCCCCTTCCCTGGGCCCCGGAGGGGAGGGCGGGCCTCTGGGGGCGATGCAGAGGGCGGTGAGCGAGGGGAGTGGCCTGGAGGCCTGGCCTCGGGGGACCGGCAGCTGGGATGTTTCATTCTCCTGGGGTTGTGCTCCTCAGTCCCCTACAGCCACGTAAAGCGGGGACAAAAGCCACTGAAGTCTGGGGGCAGAGCCTTACGTCTAGAACACCAGATTTTGCAAGTGTTCTGCTGCATGAGGAAAATGTGTCGATCATGCCCTCCCCTCCATGCTGCGTCTTTGTTGGTTTTAAGCAGAAATAATTGTCCTAGGCAGAGGCGCCCATGGATTCTCTCGTTCTTAGCCCCACCCCCACAGTCCCCACCTGCCTGTATGTGACCCCGGCTGCTGTCAGCATCCGCATGGTGGGAAAGTGCTCTGGCCGCAGCCCCCACAGCTGACCCAGGGCGGGGTGTTTTGTAGACCCCCCGCACATCGAGGATTCAGTCCATCCTGCAGAGCTGCTGCTGACCCCCGGTGCCCCCTTGGAGCTCCACTGTGATGCCCGGGGCACCCCCTCGCCCAACATCACCTGGCATAAGGACGGGCAGCCCCTGATCAGCCAGGACAGAAAAGGGGCTGGGCAGCTGCTCCTAGTGGAGGCTGTGCAGGTGCTGCCGTCCTGCCCGCTGTGGGAGGTGTCTGGGGGAGGGGAGGGGAGGGGAGGGACCCAGCAGCACCTTGCAAAGTTTGGTGGGGTGAGGATGTGGAGATGACCCATGTGGGCCATGCCCTTGGGGGCTCCTGGCCATGTCTGAGTCAAGGCTGATGCAGAAACCATCTAGATAACTCCCCAGCCCAGCCAGAGGAGGGCTGGTGCAGTCAGTGGGGACTTCCTGCCGGAGGCAGGCTTTGCCCCAGCCCTAAAGCAAGAGTGAGACAGAAATAGAGGAAAACATTCCAGAGAAGGGACTGGGTTGGCTAGAAAAGCGGAATGCCAGGCTCGGCAGGGTCTTTAGCTATGAAGGAAGAGAACCAGGTGAGGAGGTGGGCAGGTGGGGGCCAGAGGCAGCTGCTCACCTGCTCCATCCCCAGGTGGGCGATGCTGGGCTGTACACTTGCCTGGCCCAGAGTCCTGCCGGCGAAGTTGAAAAGAGCTTCCGGGTCAGGATTCAAGGTAGGGATGTCGGGGTGGGGGCAGGGGACGGAGGCAGGGTGGGACCTGCAGGGCCGGGTCCATCTCTCATGCCTTCTCTGCCCCCCCAGCACCTCCACACATTATTGGACCCCGAGGCCCCCGCTCTGTGGTTGGCCTGGCCCCAGGGCAGCTGGTTCTGGAGTGCTCGGTGGAGGCAGATCCAGCCCCTGAGATTGAGTGGCACCGAGATGGCATCCTGCTACAGGTGGGTGCCAGGCGGGGACCCAGGGACACCTCCCGCTGTCCCTCTCAAGCCCCTGACCCTGACCAGACTGGATCCCAGGTGCTGAGGGTCTGCTCTGTGCCAGTATTTGCATACCTGCTCTCTATCCCTATTATTGCTGTCACTCCATGTCATGGACGGGGACACAGAGGAAGGCTGAGATTTGCATGCAGGACTCCTGATGCATACCTGTGTTCTTCCCATGATAACTTCCAGCCGCATTTAGTGGCTGTGTGACCCGGGGCCAGTTACTGAGGCTCTCTGTGCTTGGCCCTGAAAGGGGAGGTTCGCTGCTGTGGACCCCATGATTGTAGCTCTCCTGGTGGGAGCTCAGCTCCTGATCTGAGCATAAGCCCCCTCTGCGACCTCCGTGACAGGCAGAGCTCCAGGGTGGGCGCTGTCTCCATCCCACAGGAGTCAGTTTCCCAGGGGCGCCCACTGTCCGGCCCCACCGGTTCTTTGGTCCCCCTCAGCTGGTGCCTGGGGACTGGCCTGGCCCTACCCAGTGCTGATAAAGGTCCCTCCGCCCTGGGGGGCTCTACAGGCAGATGTCCACACCCAGTTCCCAGAGCAGGGCAGGTTCCTCCAGCTGCAGGCCCTGAGCACGGCCGATGGCGGTGACTACAGCTGCACTGCCCACAACGCTGCGGGCAGCACCAGTGTGGCCTTCCGTGTGGAGATCCACAGTGAGTGGCCCCTCCCCCAGTCTCCCTGCCCATCCCCCACAGAGCCACAGGCCCCCAGCACCCGCTCCCTCTGTGCCCCCCTGCAGCGGTGCCCACCATTCAGCCGGGACCAGCTGCAGTGAATGCCTCTGTGAACCAGACAGCCATACTGCCCTGCCAGGCGGACGGTGCGCCCCCGCCCCTGGTGAGCTGGCGGAAAGATGGGGCCCCCCTGGATTCTGGGAGCCCCAGGTGAGAGCTGGAAGGGGAGGGCATAGGGGAGGGTCTCAGGTACCTTTTCGTGGGTTGTAAATAGAAACCCACCTGGGTGGTTGGAGCAGAAGGTGATTATCACCTGGACGTGGGTCCTCTCAGTACCCAAAGACAGGCAAGCCTACTTGTTCAGGGCACTGAGAACCCCTGGTGGTTATCTGTCTATTTGGTTTGACCCTTGGCTGCTGATCTCTGTTGCTGTGTATGTTGGCTATATGCCTCTCTCTCTCTCTCTCTCTTGAAATTTTCTACACCTTCTTTCTCTGTGAACATGGCAGAGAGGCCTCCCTTCTTCTGGCACCCAAGTTAGAGCTCCTCAGTTCACAAAACCTGCAGAGCCTAGAGAGCTGTCTGTGAATCCCAGATCAAAATTCTCAGGGCAGAGAATTCCATTGGCCCAGCCTGAGTGATGTGTTCCACCCAGTCCAATCAGCTGTGGCTGGGGGCGGGGTTACGCAGACAGATATGGCCCTTGGGAAGGGTTAGTCCTCAGATCTAGGAGCCATTCTCAGAAAGGTGGGGGTGCTGCTGTCTGCTGACTCTTGGGGAGAGGCTGGCCCAGATGGGAACACGGGAGGCCCAAAGCACAGCCACTCTCACCCTTTCTGATGCTGGCTTGGGGTGTGGGTTGCTGTCCATGGCTGTGACCCCGTTGACCTCCACCTCACGAATGCAGGACTCCTGAGTTAGCAGAAAGCAAGAGGCACCAGGGGCCCAGCTCCTCGTAGGGTGTTGCTGGTCTGCTGATCTCCATGGCAACCCCTCCCTCCGTTCCAGGTTACAGGTTCTGCCCGAGGGTTCCCTGAGGATCCAGCCAGTCCTCGCCCAGGACACTGGCCACTACCTCTGCATGGCGTCCAACTCTGCGGGCTCCGATCGACAAGGCCGTGACCTCCGGGTCTTCGGTAGGTGAACGAGGGAAGGTGTGCATTTTCCTTGCCTTCAGCACCTCCCCCTGTCTGGGCCAGGCCCAGACTAGTTTCTGGGTCATTCTAGCTGTCAGGAGCCAAGAGCAATGGCCTCCAAATGTTTTTGACCGTGAAGCTCATTAATAGAAAGTTTCCAGCATCACACTCAAAAGATGCATGTTTATTTTATGTATATGTTACATCCACTTACTACTGTGCTATTCTATTGAGTGAGTGATAAAACACGTAAAAGACGTAAAACATTTCCAAGGATGAGATTCAGAATCACTGAACCAGGGACTGCGATCTGCTGTTCTCATTCCATTCATCACCTGGGTGGAGGCCGCGATGGGGGCCCTGGCCTTGGGCAGGCTGATGGGGCCTCATTCCAGGGGAGATGGTTAGGGGGATGCCAGCTTTAGGGGTGCCCCATTGCCCTGTGTTTGGGAGCCTGCTGGGAGATCCCCTGCCTCCTCTCTGCTTCCTTGGAGATGGGACGAAGGTGGTGGGAGGACCCTGGCCTGCCCCATCCAGTACCCTGTCTCCTGACCCTGGCTCTCTCCCCAGAGCCTCCCGCCATCTCCCCCAGCCCCTCCAACCTGACGCTGACCGCCCACACGCCTGCCTCACTGCCCTGTGAGGTCAGCGGCTCCCCCAAGCCCCTCGTGGTCTGGTGGAAGGATGGACAGAAGCTGGACTTGCGCCTGCAGCAGGGCGCCTACCGGTACTCAGCTGGTCCTTCTGGTCGTATGAGACACTTGGGGCGGGGAAGGGCGTGACCAAGTCGCAGAGGGGAGCCCAGCTCAGAAACGAGGCAGGAATGTGCTCGGGGTCTCAGCAAAGCCAGCACCGGAACGTGCGTCCCCACCTCCCTGGGCCAGGAGGGTCTTTACACCGAGACGCCTGGCAGGGCGTGGGGGCATTTGGGACATACAGCCAGACAGGCAGTATGTGGCCTTTAAAACCATTACGGTCACTGTTTACAGACACGTGTGGAAAGCCTGAGTCCATGCTGGCCGAGCCTGGACCCCTGGCCCCTGCAGGAGCCTCAGCCTCCCCGCTTCTCACACGTAGCTGATCATGGCATGATCACGGGAGCATTCAAGGAGCCGGTGCACTGGTGAAGTCACCGATTACTCGTTGTGTTAGGTGCCAGGAGCTTTATGGCTAAAGCACGTGTTCAAAGACACAAGCAGTTTTGACCAAGGATCTGGATGTCGCTATTACAGGAGTTATCGGGGACAGTGACTGTGGGAGACGTGGGTTACAGAGGGACGGGGCGAAAATGGAAATAGCTCTCGCACTCAACAGCTAGACCTTTAGAGGTAGAAACTTCTAGAAGAAACGCGTAGAGTCAGGGCTGGGAGCCAGATATAGGAAAGGGGAATCGTAGTGAGACACCCCTCCCTTCCAGATCCCCAGACAGGGAGGCTGGGGCTGGCTGGTCTCAGGTCAGCCAGGCCGGTCACTTCGCAGCCCCACCATCTGTCTGTCCGTCCCAGGCTCCTGCCCGCCAATGCCCTGCTCCTCACAGCCCCCGGCCCTCAGGACTCAGCCCAGTTTGAGTGCGTAGCGAGCAACGAGGTGGGCGAGGCCCGAAGGCTCTACCGGGTGACTGTCCTCGGTGAGTCGGGTGGCAGCCGAGGAGGAAGCGGGATGTGGGTGGCACCTCTCTGCCCTGCGTGCTCTCTCCACCTGTGGGGACGTGAGCCGGTTCCCTCTGGGCCTTCCGGCACCGCATGGACCACCTCCTCCAGGAGGCCCTCTCTGATCCTACCCTACCTACCCACGCTGACCGAACCCTGGCTCCAGCACAGTTCCTGGCATGCGGGGGTTTGAAAGAGAGTCCTCTCCCCAATCTAGAATGTTCTAAACCCAAATCTGACTTTATCCTCACCCTGGTTGCATGCCCTCCCTGCACTGCCCACTGTCCTCAGGACAGAATGCAAGGTGTCACCCGGGCCCACGCGGTGCCCCGTGGGCTGGCTCCGCCGACCCCCACCCCAGGTTCCACCTACCCCATGGCCCGCCTCACCCTGGGACCCAGTAATGTCGGCTTTTTGTTCCTCGCCTCTGGTCCTTCCCGTGCTGTTCCCTCTGCCGCGAACACTGTTCCCTTCGCCGCGAACACTGTTCTTTACTTGGTGCACCTGCGGCTCTCAGGCCACATGCCACTCCCCCTGCTCTGAGCCCTTAGCGGCTCCCTTCTCGGTGGGACACTCCCCGAGGTGCCCGGCTGCTGTCTCTGCAGAAGGCACTTCACGACTGCTCCCGCGCCCGGCCAGGGACGTCTGAGTGAGAGAGCGTGACTTCCCTGTCGCGCCTCCCTCCCCGGCCCTTCGTCGTGAAGGTCACGTGGGGGCTTCGTCTGCGTTTGCGGTTCTCACCCGCCTGCCCTGCGGCCACGCGTTCCCAGACCTCGGTGGGGCCTCACGCCTGCCCTTGCGTTCAGCCACGCGTTCCTAGAAGACCTCGGTGGGGCCTCACGCCTGCCCTTGCGTTCCAGTGCCTCCCACCATTGCCGACGACCAGACAGACTTCACTGTGACCAAGATGGCGCCCGTGGTCCTCACGTGCCACAGCATGGGCGTGCCGGCCCCGCTGGTGTCCTGGAGGAAGGCGGGCGCCCAGCTCGGGGCGCGGGGCAACGGCTATCGTGTCTTACCTTCAGGTAGGAACGGGGACCACAGAGAGCTGCTGCTGGGGGGACCAAGGGAGCTGGGCAGAGGGTGCGAAAGCAGCCCCCTGGGGCCCCGTGGTAGAGCGAGACGCAGGGCCCGGCCTGGCTCTGCCAGTCCCTTGCTGTGCGACCCGGGAGAGGCCCCTCGCCTCCCATCCACAGCACTGGAGCGTTGCCGTGTTTTCTCCTGAGAAGGAACATCCTTTATGCTGAAATTATGCTTCTCTTAATATTTTGGTGTCGAAAGTTTCTTTTGTGAAATGAAGGTGATCAGAGATGGTGACTTTTAAAATGTGTTTACCAAAATAAAAGTTGGCAACTTTATGGGGATTCAAATTAAATCTATTTGTCGATTAATGAGTAAAGTCCTAAAGGCTGAGACCCATTGGCCAGACCGATGGTTTTCAAACTCTCCTGACGCCACGGACACCTTCCTTCTGACAGGTGGTTGCAGGGAGGCCCCACCTGTAAAACAGCTGAGGTTCCAGTTCCAGCTGGGGTTGGGGTGGGGGCCGTGGGGTGGCGGTCCTCCGTTCCCTTCAGGGCTCCCCAGAGGACAGCTTAGAAACCACTCTGCTTCGCTGCTCAGGTGCAGCCTCTGGTCTGGGGAGCCCCCAGGCACCCGAGGCTAAAGGGAGGAGGGCAAAGGGAAGACTAAGGAGGCAGAAATCCAGGAGGCTTCCCGGAGGAAGAGGGTTTGGAGCAGAGTATGGCGAGAAAAGCAGGGGGGAGGCCTGGGGGACCATGGGTGGGCCAGAGATTCCAGGCAGGAAAGTGGCTCATCCTGAGATGTCACAGCCAGAAGGGCCTAGAGACCAACCTGGGTAATTCCTCATCGTACACAGGGAAAACTGAGGCCGTAAGAGTGGGAGGGACTCGCCCACGGTTACGCTCTGGGTGGGGAGCAGAGGTGTCCTAGGACCCAGGTTCCCCCACGCTGCTTACAAATGGGCGGGCGGCAGGCCGAGTGGCCTGGACCAGAGACACCGGGGTGGGGACGGGGAAGAGCCCAGCTGGCTCCATCACTGGGGACGTCTGTCCCCCGATCCCCCCACAGGCGCCCTGGAGATCGGGCAGGTCCTCCCCATCCACGCTGGCCGCTACACCTGCACAGCCCACAACTCGGCAGGTGTGGCCCACAAACACGTGGCCCTCGCTGTGCAAGGTAGGGCCCCCTACCCTGCGGCCAGACAGCCCAGAACTTTGGGGTGGGGAGCGGGTGCAGAGCTGGAAGCAGGCGGGGCTGGGGACAGAGGTGAAAATAGAGGCCCCAGACCTGCCTCTGATCCCGCTCTCCGACGGGGCCCCGCCGGCCTCTTCCGTGCCTAGGTTTCTGGAACCTCCGTTCCCTTCGCTGGCCTTTCTCTTAGCTGGCCCCTGAGTAGAGGGGCCTGGGTGCGAAGGCATCCCCAGGGACCTCCGGAGCCCCGTTTCTTTGCAGCCTCCCCTGTGGTGAAGCCACTGCCTAGCATGGTTCGTGCTGTGGCGGAGGAGGAGGTGCTGCTGCCTTGCGAGGCCTCAGGTGTCCCACGGCCAAGCATCACCTGGCAGAAGGAGGGGCTCAGCATCCCGACAGGCGAGTCTCGCTGAGGCTAGTTCCGGAGGGAGGACCCTATGGGCCTGGGGTCCTCCTCTCTGCTGGGAGGTCCAGAAAGCCCCTGCCCCCTCTTTACTTTCTGCCCCCTCTTTACTTGGTGCACCTGGTGAGCTTTTACCACCCAGAGCCCGAGAGTCTGCCTGAGCGCTCAGTGGCTCGGTTGGGAGATCGGGGAGGGACAGCCTGGCTGGGCTCTGGGTCCACTTCCGCACTGACGCTGTCCCTACCTCACTCTGTGACCACAGTGCGTCACGTGCAGCCCAATCAGACAGAGCAGCCCAAGCTGCTCTCCTGCCCACCTTGGGGTTCTGTGGCCCCGCCCACTGGCCTCTCCCCATCTCCCCCACCCAATCCAGGAGCCAGTACCCAGGTCCTGCCCAGCGGGCAGCTGAAGATTGTCCGCGCCAGCCCAGAGGATGCCGGGAACTACTTTTGCATCGCCCAGAACAACGTGGGCAGCGCCGTGGGCAAAACTCGGCTGGTGGTGCAAGGTGGGAGCATGGAGGGGGCAGGGCGCACCTGGTGAGCTGGGGGGCGGGGGGCAGGGTGCACCTGGTGAGCTGTGGGGGGGGGCAGGGTGCACCTGGTGAGCCATGGAGAGGGGGGCAGGGTGCACCAGGTGAGCGGGGCTTGAGGCCCCAGAGAGCCCCGCTTTTCCCTGCCAGGCTCCGAGCCCAGGTGAGGCATGTCCCCACGTCCTCCCCACCCCGGCACTGCTGTGGTTCTAGAAGGAATTGAGGGGCAATCCTCATATCCCATTTTGTGCACAAGTCTGGCTTCAGACAGTAGCCACAGTCCCTCTGCCTCTCCCGGCCCCTCGAGGGACACTAGTCCAGTCATCCCTTGTGCATTTCTGTCTTTCCAGGAGCAGTGGCCATTTCTGTCCCTTCTACACAAACACACAATTAAAGGTGTCCTTCCCTTAGTTTGACCAATCATTGATTTCAGAGGGAAAGGAAGTGTCACTGTGTCACTGGCCCCAAACGTGCAAGGTACCCTGGAGTGCTCAGTGTGGGCCAGACCTGCCTTGACCCCAGTGTCTGTTCTGGTGGCTGTGTCAGTGGGCTGGCCCCGTGGGTGACTGTGTACGGCTGGGGTCAGACTTTGCTTATGAGCCCAGAGGTGCTCCTGGCTCCACGCATCCTCCAAAGCCTCCTTGTCCAGCGAGCTCCTCCTCCCTGTCTGTCCATCCGGTGGCCTGCACTCTGCCCCAGTGTAGCCCCTCCCCAGAGGAGGGAGACACGGGGGCTTCGTGGTCCTGGACGCTGGCTGACAGCAGGGATCTGTGCCCACGTGGAGCCTGGTTAGGGAGGCCTCTGTCTCGAAGCTCTAGTGTGTGTGTTTGCACGTGCGTGCAACAGTATCACCCTGTCACAGCTTCAGCAGAGTCCCCCAGCCGTCCAGACCATGGGCGATGGCCTATGACCAGGTTGTCAGTGGGAGCAGCAGATGGGGCTGGAGAAAGGGACTGAAGGGCATGCTGAGGGCACCGGGGCAGCGACAGCCCACCCTACCCCAGCCCCAGTTCCTGAGCGGACCTCCCTGTCCCCACAGTCCCTCCTGTGATTGAGACTGGCCTCCCTGACCTGTCCACCACCGAAGGCTCCCACGCCCTCTTGCCCTGCACGGCCAGTGGCGACCCCGAGCCTGACATCACCTGGGAAAAAGACGGGCACCCCGTGTCCGGAACCGAGGGCAAGTTCACCATCCAGCCATCCGGGGAGCTGCTGGTGAAGAGCTCGGAGGTGAGGCTCTGACCCCACGGGGCACAGAGGGGAATCGTCGTAACAAGGGGAGCAGCCAACGTCTGCTGGGTTCCCCATCTGTCATGCTCTGTGCTGAGCCCTGTGCAGCTTTTAGCCACAGGAACCTGGGTAAATAGGTATTACTGTCCCAGGACACAGATGGGGAAACCGAGGCTCAGAGTGGACCCAGCGTTCCCAAGATACACTGGTGCCGAGAGACAGAACCAAGGTCTGAACCTGGAGCTCCATGACAAGTTCCCAGGGGAGGGAAGGAGCCTGGACTGGGGCAGGGATGTGGCGATGACTCTGTGTCCCCAAATTGCACCCGGTTGTTCTCAAGCTCACGTTGATGTTGACCTGAGCCAGAGGCGTGGGCAGGACCCCTGGCCCCCTTTCCCATCAGCACTTACCAGATTCTGTAATTGCAAAATGGGCCGCTCTGCAGATGGATGTGCGGCTGCTCGGCGGGCGCACCTGGAGAGGGTCGCGGGGGCCTCGGACCCTGCCACTCAGGAGGCCAGGTGGAGCAGTGTTGGGTGCACCGGCCCCGCTGGACTTCTCCTCTAGGAGAAGCCACCAAAGTGGGGGCTGCCTCAGGGACGACGTGAGCACAAATGAGCTGATGCAGCACAACTTTTGAGCGTGGGGCCGGGCGCTCGTGGCTGCTCGGTAAATGGTGACTCTTACGATGGCCTGGTCAGGGCCTGGATTCTGAACGCGCAGAGCCATCGGAAGGCTGGGGGATTTGCTGGGGTGCCATGGTGAAGCCGAGCCATGTGCCAGCTATGTGACCTGCAGGAGAGTGGGTCCTGGGGACATAGTGGCCCATGCTGGGCATGGGGACAGTTCTCAGCCTGACCCGTCCCTTTGCCCCACAGAGCCAGGATGCTGGCACCTACACCTGCACCGCCGAGAACTCTGTGGGCCGCGCCCGCCGCCGCATACACCTCACCGTCCTGGCACTGCCCGTCTTCACCACCCTGCCTGGGGACCGCAGCCTGCGCCTTGGGGACAGGCTGTGGCTTCGTTGTGTGGCCCGAGGCAGCCCTACCCCCCGCATTGGCTGGACTCTCAATGACCGGCCAGTCACAGGTCTGGGGCTGTTGGGGAGCCAGTGGACAGGGACCTGGGACCCTGGGAGGTGGAAGGGGGTGGGCAGGTGGGGAGCCCCACTCCAGTGAAGAGGAAGAGAGTGTTCAGCGGTGCTGTGGGTTCTGGGTCTCCAGACTTGGCCTTGTGCAGGCGAACGGGGTAAACCCACATGTGGCCCCATGTGACCGGTCACATGTCAGACCCTGGCAAGAAGCCATCTGTGACAAAGAGACCTCGGGACCGGGAGAGGGTCCTGTGTTCCAGCCCAGCGCTGCTGCTCCCATGCGGGCCTCTCAACAAACCTCTTTCCTGGGGGGCTCTGTCTCCCCACTTGGGTGCCAGGTGCTATTGAGGGGAGGCAGGGCTTGCAGGGTATATAATAGTGCTCAAGAAATGTCTGCTAATTGCTAAAATGCAGTCAAATCACTGCAAAATGATATTTTCAGAGCCCCCTAAACCCACGATGAGGCTTTACCCCGGCACTTTCCTGGTTGGAGGCTTGGGCGAGGGATTCAGGCTCTCTGAGTCCAGCTTCTTCACCTTAAAATGCAGACAGCAGGAGTCCCGAGGGCAGGGCGATTTAATCCAGGAGGCGCACGTTAACAGGCCCCCAGAGACCTCCCCTTGACCATTCACCAAACTCACAGTGCTGACCTGAAAACGAGGAAAGGCAGGTTCTTCAACCACACCCTCTAATGTGGCCTGCGCCCCCCCGAGTCAGCTTCCGCTAAGGAGAAGGGCCCCCTGTTTTCCGTGTCTTTATTAAGCACCTGCTGGGGTCCCCAGGCCTGAGTTAAGCATTCAGGGCAGGAGGTCCCTGGCACCTTGGGCTCAGAGTCCTCTGGGATGTCTCTTCCTCTGCCACAGAGGGGGTGTCTGAACAGGACGGGGGCAGCACGCTGCAGCGGGTGGCGGTCACCAGAGAGACAGCGGGACCTACGTCT